TTAAAAATATTAGGTTTTGTTAATTTTCATGCTAGATGGTATTTTAATTTACTTTACTTTGCATGGGCAACCATTCACTAGCTTTTCCATTTCTGCCAAGTATGGTTGCCTGTGATGTCATAGACCACTAAATGTTTATTTAGTTAACTTTTAGTTAGATATGTTATCTCTATTACAAGCCTTTGTATACACACGGATAAAATATAATTAACTATTTTGTGCTTAATATGTTATCGCATGGATTGACTGTGCAAGTAATTAAAATATTTAAAACAAAAACTAGTGCAAGTCTTTGGCTGACATAATGGATAAAACAAAATCAGCTTTAGAGACTATTTCTACGCTGCATTTCAAGTCAGAACAATTAAGTGTTTATATTGATAATTCCTTTATTGAAGGATCACCAAACATTTAAAAGTAAATCCATTATTCTATTTTTTTTTTTTTTTTTTTTTTCAGTCTGATGTTTTTGTAAGAAATCAATCAACAGCATTTGCCGGAAAAGTCACGGATGTCTGTGTGGCATCAAAGCAATTTCTTGTTACCCAATTGCTGGTCCAATGAAGAGGTTGTATTATCAGATTCTAAGGCTGCCTTACAAGCTATTGAATCAAAGGACATTTCATTCTCTGAGGAGATTCACAAATTCCAGTTTTATCTTGAGCAACTGAAGAAAGAAGGGAAAAACCATTTGTTTTCAACAATGCATTCCTGCTTACTGCAATGAAAGAAAACATTATTTGGAATTTTAACCCATGTGCAGCCTCTCATTTTGGTAGCCTTTCGGAGGCCTGCATGAAGTAAATGAAAGCTAATGTTTAAAGAACTCTTTGCACACAGATTTTAACTTAAACAGAATTGTCACATTAATAATTTGAGTAGAGTTGTGCTTGAATTCAAGACCCATTGCTGCTCTCTCCAATGATCAAAACAACTCAAATGCTCTTACTCCATTTCATTATAGCAGCTCCATTGAATTCGATACCTGATTATGATTTAACAACTTGTTCTCTTTATCAAGCAGTAGAAATTTCTCTTTATCAAGCAGTGGAAGTTAATTCATGATCTTTTCCAAAGTATTTCGAAACATAATTCATCAGATTATCTCTCACAATTAAAACAAAGACCAAAGTAACAAAGTTTCTGGAAATATTAGTCATCAGATTATCTCTCACAATCAAAACAAAGACCAAAGTGGATAATAGCTAAATTAAACTTTTTTATTTGTGAAATGACAGTTACATTGGCCGTTAGGCCATTAAACTTCTTGCTTGCCAATAGCACTGAAATCTACAAGAAAAATTTATTAGTGCTTCACACTCGTCCAAATGTTCCGCCGTCATTGGCCGTCGACTATTATATAAAACACACAGCAGCGAATCAGCTAGTCCAATGTGAAATAAATGATTCTGAAGACAGTCATGTCCTGTCAATAGTCCAAAAGATGCAACCACAATCGTTTGCGGGTGGTCAGAAACAAAAGCTGGGTTTGTTAAGAAAACACTCCAAGGCTTAACCCTCACAAGCCCGAGTGGCAAAATCTCTAAAAGTCTTTTGATACGTTAGCGATCTTAGAAACTTAACAAAATGGAGGCTTGCACTCATTTTTGGCTTTTGGAAAACCATAACCGCCTTTTTTGCAAGCATATCAGCCATCTCATTTCACCCATTGAAAAGATATCTTGTGGGATAGTTCTTTTATGACTTCCTGACAGCGTTGAACGCATATGTTCTTACACTCAGGAGCCATCAACAAGCGGCAAAGCTGTAGCAGATTTAGCATAACCCAGGATGCACCACGAGGAGGCCTGGCACACTACACCCCAGCTAAATCAAACCTTTGTGAATGATTTAGTGTTTGTAAAAGACGAAAATTTTCTACCCTTGAAAAAGAAGCTTGGTAGAATTATTGAAATCTATACAGTGCTGACAGAGATCTTCAAGCACCAAATTTTCAAAATGTGCCAAGCTCTGACAACCATGCACATAACCATTCTTTAAGCTACCATGCTCATAACAATCTTTCATTCAAGCAATGTTGCCATTTTCATATGCATTTGTTTTATTGTATTCCAAGTTCCAATGATTTTTAAAAGCAAACTGTGATATTTTCCCCCTTAAATACTTGATTTTAAAATATGCACTTGTGGAAATTGCCAGCAATGGAGAAACAGCAGTAAAATTTTCTGCAGGAATACAGAATTTTGAAGCAAAATCTTTAAATGGAATAGGTGGTGCTGCTGAGGTTTGCACCATGCTGAGTCTGCAATTCTCTGTTTATTTATTTATTTATGTAAAGGAAAAGGAGATCCCTGCACACTTAGGGACAAGAACAGTGCAAAACAAATTACAAAAAGATGTGGAAGAAAATGTAAAGTGTTTTATTTTTTAACCGCTTGCCTGATTATCCCAAGTTATCTCGGGTTTATATATATTGTCGCTAATTATTATCCCCAGAAAACTCGGGTGAAGCAGAATTTGTTAGTATGATTTTTTTATCACGGTTTTACTCAGCCTAAGGAAAATGAAAGGAGATATTCAGCTTTGATTTGCAGTTTGCCAAGTTTTGTTGGTTTTGTCGTTCTTTTGGTGGGACTGGTCACATGTTTTCCCTATTGTATAGTATACGTCGGCTTGTGGATTAGTTATGTATAAAGAAGGATAGTTGTGTTGAAAAAAAGTAAAATAATGGCGATGATGAGTGTCAGCGAAAGCAGTGTTTTTTTTTTTTTTTTTTTCCAGATAGTAATTATGAAGAGGTAGACATTTTCCAAATGTTATTCCTGCTACTGAAACAAAATCAAATCCAACAAGACAGTGTACTCTGTGCTCCCATAAAAGAGATACCAGAGGTAAGCCAGTAAGAAAAGAGACCAGATACCAGTGCGCAGAATGTCAGGTATCACTTTGTGTTGTCCCTTGTTTCAAAAACTATCATATCATACAAATATAATAACATACAAATACAATAATATTTAACCTTTTTTCGTTTGCCCACGATAACTCGGGATAGTAAACTAATATTAAAACTAAATGCTTTTACACATGGAAAAAATAAAAATTTCAACTTAAAACCTACATATTTTTTGTTTCATTTCCTTGTATTTAATAATAAAATTTAAAAAATGTGAAGATTTTTTGCAATTTTTTTCAAAAAAATTTGTAAGGGAAGAGGTAAAAATGTGTAAAGGCAAAATTGGTAAAATATGTTTTCATTTGTTGATAATACTTGCCAACGTATGATATATATCGATAATTTAGATGGAAAAAAGATGAAAACTACCAACTTTCACTTGATAATTTTTACCTTTTCATTTGTAAAAAAATTGCCAAATTGCACCAAGGTGGTTGCATTAATACATAAGTACTATATTTTTTAATGACCCTAACTCAGTTCCGATATCAGAACTGTAAAAGTAAAAGCAAAAAGTGAGCTCTTTTAGTACTTTGATAAGATGCATACATGTATTTTATATCTATTAAAAAATTAATTACTTTCCTTTTGCTTAAACAAATCAAACACAGTTATTGAGATGCATAAAACAAGAGCTTTTCATAAAAACAAGTTTTTTAATTTTTAATATAAGATTATGAATATGGATAAAGAAGATCCTGATTAATACGCGTATATAATACAAATTAGCTGCAAAAGACTAAACTTTATTAACTCTTACTAAATGAAATAATAAAGCAGAATAATTCAATAGAAATGCAACAAAAGATTTTTGCATACTTTTTAAATGTAATAAGAAATGTATCTGCAAAGATTTATATTACAAAGAAACATTTTTGCCCTTTTCTACTTGAAACTACAAACATTTGTACAAGCACTACACAGCAGCTGATAAGAGAACTTACCAACAAGTATTTGAAACATTATATAATTTCATACTATTAAACATAGCGATATCAATAAAGAAATTAAATGAACAATCTGATATTAATAATACATAAATCATAAAATATATAATATATTTTTAACATAAACGCAATATGAATATATTATTAGCAAAAAAATCCCCCTCCCCCCCCAAAAAGGAAAAATCGGTACTATTCGGTTTCGAGGGCCGTAAAAAATCGCCAAACTATTGTTGATGCCAATGCTGCCAAAAAGAATTGCGGCAACCCTAATAATTGCGGCAAGAAAGGAAGTATAATAGTAAATAACTATTTAAGATTGATGTTTTGATTTAGATGAAAGGTTAATTTCATATAATACGTTTTTATCATTATAATTTATATGAAAAAGGATAAACATGACTGAATGGAAGCATAAGAGTAAATAACTATTTCAAATCATTATTATAATTTACATAAAAATTGCTAAACATAACTGAATGGATGCCTGCATCGCTATTTCGCTACCGACTTATTGCTAAAGCATAATTTCATTTCGTTGGTTGTTCAAACGTAATTTTCTATAAGGAATGATGTCTTTTCTTTGAAAATATTCTCGGTAAAGTGCAGAATCGCCCACTTTTTTGTTTGCCGCTTTTTACAACGGTAAAAACAATTGGATTTTTGTCAATTTTCGTTTACTTTTTAAGTGCAAATAGGTCGATGTGTACATAGATAAAGTCAAGGGTGGGCGCAAGGCCATTTTTGTGCAATTCTAGGATTTTTTTTTTAAGTGAAAATAGGTCGATGTGCACATGGATACCGAGTATGTGCAATTCTTAAAAATGTGTCAAGCAGTGGGTGATTCTGCACTTTACCCAAAATTCTATTGCCGACTTTTCGTCATGGGCAATTCCCAAATTATTAAATCCATAGGATATCAAAAAAATGATTTAAAAATTAAACTAGTATTTCATTGGCATCGTAAGAAATATAGAACTATATAAACTTACGCAATCTGAAATCAGCGCGTACGTTAGATTTGGCGCTTTTGCACGTACATTTTCGCTGCAATTCTTTTACGGCCCTCGAAACCGAATAGTACCAAAAAATCTTCATATGGTATAAAAAAAATAAATTTAGAAAATATAACTGCAACTTACACTAAACAGCACAAATCACTAAGCTGATCAATGAACTCAAATAACTGACGAATATCATAGGTTATTGAAGCTGAATCAGGATTTTGTCTTTTCAAATGTTCTTCATACATGTGACATACACCTGAATTTAAACATTAGTATTTGAATCATAGAAATACATTCAAATTAAATATATTGTTAAAAAATTGTATAAAGAATATAAATATTCCTAAAAATTTGTGAAAGTATATCAGTAACCGTGGCATCAACTTATACAAAACTTCGCATAAACTGCAATTCATAAACGTCTAAAAAACATTACCTGAATAAAATATATAGACTATAAAAATAGCATGAATATTATAAAAACAGTCTATAATAATAAAATGTAATCATTCTCTGCAATTAATGAATTATATGCAATAGTCTTAATTACTGAGCTTCTAGAATATAGGGCAGCAACTTAATTGAATAGCCACCTTCTTATTATATAAAGAAATGTTCAAACTGAGTGATATATCCTAGTTGGTTCCTTGTTTATCAAAGGTTTCTAAGAATCATGAACTTGACTGGGAAAAATAAAAAGTTAACTATAATGTAATTCTTTAGATAACAATTTTAACTGCCAGTTCTATAAGTCAAAATTAGCAATTTAAAATTCTGAGTACAGGTTATCTTCATTATAATTATTATTAATTACAAGAATTTTCTGGCACATACATGGAAATACAGATTCAATAAACTATATAAAATCATTTCTATAATAAACTGCACAATCCATCACCTATTCTCCACTAATATATTATCATGTATTTTTTGTAGTAGTTATTTTACACATTAGTTTCACTAAAAACTTTCCATGTATTACTGATTTTGCAGGTAGGCCATGTACATAAAAAGGTCACCATGGAAGTAATTAATACAATTTTAGAATAGCAAATTCTTGCTTCAGCTCCGTCCAGTTATGTGCATTTTTTAAAACCAAGCTATTCAAATCATATTCAAAGAAAATTTCTGAGATTAAAATTACAATGAAGAACTCATGTTCATTTAAGTTTTCAAGTCTTGTATATAAAATGAATTTTTTTTCTAAATTATTAATATAAATATGTTTTAAAATTATACTTTTGATTGATATAATCTGAAACTTGCACATTTTCTTGTAATTCTCACTTTCTAACAATATTTTAAAAAATACATTTCATTTCTTTTTCGAATGAAAGACACTTTTTATAGACTATCATGACCAACTTTCTTCATGGTGATCATAATTAATTATTTAAGCATTCAATTAAACATCACCATACTATCGCTTTTAGAGATTAAAATAATCGGAGAAATGTTATACTTTAAAATTTGCTGTAACCTGGATGTCATGGTTGCAGGGAAGCTAGTTGCCACTGCTTTAGGATCGGACTCAAAATGTATGTTTGTAAGCTCACAACTTCTTTGAGGTACAGACGCATTTAAAATACCGTCAAGTTCTCTCCTGATGTTGGTGTAAGGAAAAGAGGAGTAGACCCTCAGATCAAATGTTATTGTCAGACATGTGAAATAAATAAGAACACATGTCGTTTGTATTTTGAATAACATCATGGCAATAGCAAGGCTTTTCCATTAAAAAAATATCTCAGAGGTTTTATCACTTAACAATGTTGCCATTAAAAAGAAAAAGACACTAAAAGCTGAAGATTTTCAATATAGTTAACAAATGCAAAATTTTATTTTCTAAACCATTAAATGGACAGCTCAAATAAATACTCAAACACTTGTATACATGTATTTATAACTTTAATATACATATATATATATATGACAATATAGTTTATAATTTTATTATTGAAATGCATACATATCAAATATGAAATAACGTATTCAGTGCAGCATACAAAAGACTGAAGCTTTGTAAATTTAATAAATGTAACATGAGCTGAGATACAAAGATAGTATGGTTAAAATGTACACAGCATGGAGAAAACAAAAACCATATTATTTTAAATAAAAATTGCACTTGGCCACACTGTTTGCAATTCTTTTCTCTTTTAAAATCTAAACATTTTCACACGGAATGGTTAAGAGAGTGGATGTCCCAGCATGCTTGTTCACAATATGTTTTTGCACTCAATAAATCTTCTTATTACCATATATCTGGGAGGGAGAACTATTGGAGAAATATAATCTTGAGTTTCATCTTCATTTATAAATCAGTACTTCAGTTATAACATTCCTTCATCATTTTCATAAACATGAAAATTTATCAGATTCTTTTACATTTCTACATATTTTTTTTTTTTTTTTTTTGCATACAATGGAAAAGTAATATCCAAGTTAAAACTCAGATCATATTTGAGAATTCTGAAAACTTTCTTGTAAACTGTGGTACATTGGACCTTTTAGTTATAAGCAGATATTAGTTATGCATCAGTTTTTCAGTTCCACTTTCTTCTTTATTGGTGCTCATAGTGACTTAGGGCACTGCTCTTTCGAATTCTTCAATCAAGGTAGTCCTTGTTACCACATGTACTTTTAAAGTCATTTGGATTTACATCCCCTTGACAGAAGGTCAGCCAAGTTCTGATTACCTGGAACATGGAGCCAATTTTTGGAAGCTGCAAGTTCCAGATTTCAGTCACTTAGTTGTTAACAAACATCGATTATTGCCATGTAATTCATATAAGAACTGTTGGAGAAATGGTCTAAAAGAAAGTTTCACATTCATCAATTTTTAGAGCATTTTTCACAGATTCAACCAATCTAGCTCTGAATGTAGCTACCATTTGCTCATGTTGTGGTATAGTGTTTTCTTTTCAGTGGTATTACCTGTGACTTGGTGTGCTGAAGTAACTGAATTTTTAGTAGGCTATCAAGAGATTCACTTCTTAACCCTTGGCGGCACAGTGTGTCCGGTCTGGACACACCTAAAAATTTTCTTCTGTACGCACAGAAAAATTGAATAGAAAAGGATTTAGGTTACTCTGAACCTTCTTTATTTATAGTAGATGGCAGCTCAACACAAACCAGTCCATATATATTAGCCATGTTTAGTTTTTAAGACCCTCATTTTTCAATGAAATCTTCCAGATTTTTTTTAGGGTATAAAAGGAACTGTTTGAAAAGAAATTTCTATGTTATTTTTTGGCTGTATGATAATCTCTTTATTCTATATAAGTTTTAAATTTTTACCTTGAAATCTTGCCTAAAATCAAACGGCGAATCCTAGGTGTGCCCAGACCAGGCTCACCGATCATCTAGGACAACTGAGAGTCCGTAATCTTTGTTTCTCCACATCTCATCGATCAGTTCATTGACAACAACACTCATTTCAGCACTCTTTTCAAAGCTCTATTCAATCAGTGTGCTACTTTAGGCACACCCACAGAATTAAAATGATAAGGGCAATCTTCACAAAATTTTACTTGTGTACTCCTCTAGGCCTAATTAGACTGCCTACGTTTTTTTAAAAATCAAAACTCTGACTTTAAAAGGTTGCGTGCCGAAAAGGGTTGAACAGATGCAGGCTAAAAATGCCATTTGACTTGCACCTACAAAAGTATGCATGTTCAAGTAGAACTTTCTACCGATATTCAACCTTCTTGAAATCTTCATATGTTTCAAATGATGCAGTTTCTTAAGCCACTACAGCAATTTCCGTTTTTTAATTTGTTTCTTTTATCACCCCAAAATTCTTTCTTCTTTCATGTAGCTTAAAAGCTTATCTTGCATCATAAAAGATGATGTAATTTATAGATGTAAAAATATAAGTGAAAGCACTCTTATTTCGACATGTTTTTTTACAAGTACGAACAGTAGTGCTTTCTCATTCTCTAAGATCAGGCATTCTATCATTATGTTTGAAGCAGATTCAGTAAACACGTTTATCTCTGAAACTGTCTTTGTGCTCATCACACAATTATCAACATAAAAATAATCTCACAGTTTTTCAGTATCCATCCAAAGTATTGTTCTTGTCATGATTCTTTGGACAAACTGTGGTTGATAACTGCTATCAGCAAAAACGGACTATAAGTAATATCACACATCACACTGGTGCGGCAAAAAATGTCATTATTGTACCATCAGCATACTAAAGAAACAACAAAAAATTTCAAGCTATTAGATTTTGAGATATCTGTAAATAAGTTCTTATGATGTCTAAAAACATACCAATTTCATATAAGTGAAACTTTGCAAGAATTGAAGGAACAGTTTCAATAAAATTAATTCCAGTCTCCAAGCAGTCGCTTAAAAAGAGGCTGATTTGGAAAATTTATCGAAGCACTGAAGACTGGTTTTATTTTCATAGAAGATACTGAGGAAGTTTCTTTAATGACTGGACAAAGTACAAGTTCCCTCTATACTGCCCATCAATGGGGAAGAATTGCTCTTGAGTAACTTCTTCAATCATACCTTCCTGCAGCCATTTGTTAGACTTAATAATACTTCTAACGATACCCGATTTTCTTCAATTTCTTATTAGTAGATTTGAATCTTTTTAAAGACAGGTCATAATTTTCAGGTACGAGGGCATGCTCAATTTTCTAATTGATGAACTTGTAGGGTTTATTTTAATTTTCTAATTAGTTCTTTTTATTTTGGAATAAAACTTTCCTTTACTTGCTATGTCTCCCTACGAATATGAGATTTTAGGATTCCGTTTCAGAAGCAAGTATTTAAGTCTACATCACTTCACTAGAAGGGCCTTGTAAAGCATTAAGAGAGTTATGTTTTGCCTTCCAGCCACACTGTTGCTAAAAGACTGATCTTACTACGATACAGCCATATTATGCCTGCTAGTATTCGCCAGTGACCTTAAATAAAGGCCAACTATGTTATTTAATTCTTTGCAGCTTTGGCTGGTTTTAGTTTGATTAGTATTAGATTAGTTTCTCATTTTTTGAGTTAAAGCCCAAGTGGAGGCTTATTGGGAAATCAAGCGGAGGCTACACAAGAGCCATCTGTCAAGTTGGAATAAAGGGTAAATTTAACCCTTCTTTGAACTGTTTTCTGAATAGAACTCTGCAATAAGTCGCTACACAGTTCTTTGATATTATAGCTCTTAAGGACTACCAATTTAGCTAGGCTTGAAAATAAACCATAAAAAACTCTTCATATTTTTGTTCAATGAGGTCTCAAATATCTAATAATTCTAAGTTCTATAACAATGAAATGGGTAGGTCTTCTTGAGGTAATGTAGATACAACAGCCATATTTATGTTGTGCTGCTTGCGTTAATTTGCCCACCAAGGTCCAATCCAATTTTGTTTCTATAGCCACTAAACATGTTCTCATTTGCCAGTACATTACTAACTTCTCAGCAGTGTCTGCCCCAACAGTACTTCAATAAGGCCTGCGTTTGTTTGGGAAACAGTTAAACGTTTTATTTCAAGAATCCAAGAAACGTATCAGCTTGAAATATTATTACAAATGACATCATAATCTACAGCATCTAATTTACAGGAATCATTATCATTAAAGCTCTCAAATAAATCTTGTAACATTTATGGTTATGAATTTTACTTTTTGTTCCATCAAAATAAAACAAGACTAGTCTTCTTTCGATTGCAAGTCAAAACCCATTTCTTCAGAACTAGACCTTAAAACACAACATTTTGAGCTTCTGTATCAATTATTAATGATTGATACATACGTGATGCTACACATCTAACGTGATGCTTTTTATTTTCATTCTGTGTGCTTACAATCAGAGCATGAAGGAAAAATTTCATTTGTAGTATGCAAATGCAAGGAATTGCTTGTTTTCTATTGCCCCTGTTCTTCTGGTTATGCATTTTACTAGACTTATTGCATACAAGATTAGTACACAAAAATTTCAAATGGGTTTTTGAACAGATCTGATATTTAACATTTAATTGACACTCATTACTGAAGTGACTCTTAACTATTCACTTTCTACATAACTCTTTTTTTTTTATTTTAAACCAGGCTCTTTTTTTTTTTTTTTTTTTTCCGTCTAATGCAATATAAAATGCTTTTTTACAATTACATGTTTCATGAACCTTTAAACAAAACAAACAAGTAGGAACTGCTTCATGATTCATCAAATCAAAAAAATATATATATTTTGGGTAGTTGTCAAGTGCTTGCAATCAGGAAAAGAATAAATATCTATACTGCTTAATCTTATTTTTTCTTCTCACTAAACTATGTTTTTAGAAATTCAACTATTGCATCAAGACTCCAAATTTTTTGTTCAGCTTCAGTAATTTTTTGCTGCTTTTCAAATAATCACAATATATGAACAGGGTTCAAACTTTCAACTAGAGGACATAAAATTGTTCCATAGAGATCAGTTGTTAAACTAAACTGCTCAATACTGCAAGCTATGTTGAAAGTTTGTTACACATACTACTTGAAAGAATCATATTTCTTTTCTGTCACATCATACAAAATAAACTTTATTAACTATTAAACATAACAATCAGATAAGAGTTCTTTACAGCAAATCTCTTAGTGAGGCTTTCTCAATTTTTGTTTGTCACAGGAGAAGATTCTACAGTATCCCTAGCTTCTAAATTAATTTTTGTTGACTGAATCAAATAATGAAATTTGTTTGCAATTATTAAATTATTATTTTCAAAGTATGCTTTTAAACTGATCCCAGAAGCCAATTTTTAAAATCATCTCTAATCTTATAAAGTTCTACTTTCAGTAGACATTGGTACAAAGTTTTACGTGCATTTTTATCAACAACTAATTTGCGATTATTCTGTGTCAGTTTGTCTAACTACTGTTAAAAAATTGGAAATTACCTTGTTAGAAGAACTGCAATATTTTAATGAACTTAACAGCTTAATTGAAGACATAGAACTTTGCTTCAGAACTTGTATGAGAGTCACAGTGGTCACATCTTTTATTGCAGTGAGGTTTCCTGATTTAATATTTTATCTAAGTATAAAATGTAACATGCTTACAAAACCAATTACATATATACTGGAATAATTTTATAACAGCAACTTTTTGTCATGGAAATATCACTGAATTGCTTAAATTCAAGTAAAATTCAAACCTATCTAAGCACAACTTTTCTAAGTATATGAAATTTACTATATGCTTAACTCTTGGAAAGGGATGTATTTATCATTGGCACAGCAAGTTAATGTCAATGAAATTGAGCCGAAAATTGGATCCAGAGAATAAAATTTTAATAAGCTAAAAATTTAACTGTCTTTGAAAGATGAGTTTACTAAAATAGAGAATGAAGCGTAGAGGGGGGAGTGACATATAGTACTGTTTGCATCACTAAAGCTAGCAAGAGTGTATTAAGAAAAGTCAGACTACCATTAGGTCCAGGTGATAACTGAGTAGCTACTGGTATCAATCAACACATAAGGACCAGAATACTGAATAAATATTCTTTATCTACAGTCATGAACTTTATTAATTTCTTACTTTCATTTTGTACATGACATACCTTCCATGCACTCATTCACTGAATCATAATCTGAATAACTTCTTGTTTCTGGTTTGCCAGGCTGAGCAAGCAAAATTGTATGAGACTAAAAACACAAAAGGTACACTATAAGTATACATATTCCAGAAATTACAAACATTTTATGACTACATACTAAATGCATAAAATAATGTTTTCCAAAATTTTTCACATCATGATCCATCTAGACAATGACGAGCTTGCGCAAGATCCTTGTCTTCAATTTGTGAACAATTTTTCTTTTGTTTATTTATGCCAAGAAAAAACGTGACTTATGTACCCCGATTTATATTAGTCTTTTCTTTCCTGAAAATTAGGATCTTGTCTGGTTTCATCAAATTTCTAGAAAAATTTTCAATCACTGTAATTTGATACTGCATTACTCAACATTTACAATTTGCATTAAATGATTGTTAAAAAACATTACTGGAATTAATCATTCTGAAATATTTCTTGATAAATTTTAAGCTTTTTATCTCCAATAGCCCCAAATTAGTGATAATTAACCCATGAGCACGTGCACTGGGTCCAATGGACCCGAGGGATTAAACAAACCTTTCTCAAAGCACACCTATTTCATGCACGTTGTTGAGGTGCAGTGTTGTCGTCTCTTAGGTTGACCTCTTTATGTTTCCAAAGAATTTTCGCTAGGGCTTTGATTCGAAATCTTGATTTTGATCACATAGTCTTTTTAGACCAAGTGTGCCTATTTGTATTACTATTACATAGTTGATTTGTGATAGTATAGAAAGCGGCAAACATGTCACTTAATTTATCTTGCAATGAAGAAATGTTGCAGAAGTTATTAGATGTATCAACTGACCAAGAATGTATTGATGAAAATGAGGACGGAAGTGATTACGAATTTTCAGTTCACATGATATTGGTTCAGGCAGTGTTTATAGATTGTGAAAACGAGAGTTTGAATGACATAAAGTGTTTTACTGGAAAAAATTTAACGGAAACAAAAAAGAAAAAAGATGCAGTATTTACCCAGCGAAAAAGCACAGAAAAACGAAAACGCCAATGTGAAAAATATTTGTGTTTAGAACACACGAAAACACTTTCTTCAATGTGCTGCTAACATTTATTGTTGCATTTTTCTTTTTGCCTATAGTGCTAATAAAGAAAATAAGAATCAATACAGAATAAAGGTATACTATTTTTTACATTAACATATAATATGATTTTCTATCAATTTAAGAAATTTTATTTCGTAAAAGCATTTGCAGATATTAAAAATTTTAATGTGCATATTTTTTAGATTCAATCATAAAATTTATTATTGACATAGATGTAACATGTTTTCTGAAGATTTACAATATTTTTTAAAAAAAAAAAAAACACGAATTGGGTCTTTTGGACCTAGTGCGAGTGCTTGTGTAACTCATATGAGCATGCGTTCTCCCAAGTTAAACGAGACTGATAAAATTTTAGGTCCCAAAACATTAAAAAGCAGCCATGTGTTTAGATCACAAAAGGTAACATGTAGCTTAAGAATAGCCCTTGCTGCATCGAGGAACTATCCAACTTTGTGCAAGCATTTTGCATATATGTGTTTAACAGACTCATAAATTTGAACTTTTTAATGTCCTGGCAGAGATGATCAATATTTTACAGGAATTATCATGTCTGACAAAATCTCTATGAAGATGCAATATAACCATTATAAATATTAACTCCTTAACTTTTTCACTTCGAAGTCACCCAAAACACATGACCATTCAGATATCGGCAGGTTGCCCAAATGCCTCTACCTATTGCTTTCCCCCATCACACTAATGCATTGCTCGTTGCTTTTGGGAGTTGTTAAATGACATTCCAATCATTTTTTTTTTTTTTTTTTGAAGTGACTAAAAGTAGGTCTGTTATCTTAATGCATCTTTCTTTTCCTTTGTTTACTGTCAATGTTTAGCTACTGATGCCCAATGCTGCAAACCTGTCCCAAGGGAAAACTACACACACTGGTGAAAACATCTAAGTAAGAAGTTGTCGCTTTATTTAAGTAGGTTATTATTAGCACTGTAGCATTCTACTTGTCATGGGAGAAAGAAATCTATTCCAACAAAAATGCATACATACGGGGGGGGGGGTTCAGATGTTTGAGCGAAATAGATTTTGGCCTTTACCATTGTGAAAGAGTTAATTGTAAGAATAATCAATGATGTTAATAATTTAAAAAATTCTCATGACTTATGAATCTAAAATTAATTCTGTGTTAAAATCAAAGGAATTTGATGGATTAATAATTGAAAGCATGAATAATTTTTTGAAATAATTTACAAGGAAAATATTAACCAGTTTTGTGAGGTTTTAGCATTACAGATTATTACGGTAATTACAAAATAAGAAAATAAAAAGTGAAGAATTCAATTGATAAACAATTAAAACTAATGGTACTCTTTTGTTATGTACCTGCTATACATTTTATAAGGTTTTTCTAATGGCAAAAAAATTCTAGTTATAAGACTAGTTTATAGACAGCAATTTATTATTACAAATAAGTTTTTTTCAAATTTAATTACTAAATAAACAATAAGTTGAAATTAATGACGACACTAAGCGGGAGACATAAATTTACAAATATCTGTTAGTGAGGCAAAAAACATTTTGGCCTTTGGATATAAGTGGCATCACATGAATTATACTGAGTCAAAATGCTGATGGACAGGGCTTCTGGCTTTTTTTCTGCCATTTAACGTTGCCCCCAAAATGCTCAATAGATTGGGTATGACAAACCTGTGGCTAGGTCAATAAAATTACATGAATGATTTACTGTGAAGTGATCATATTCTTCAGCTTTCAATTTTGATGGTTTGTAATCTTTACACGCATTAAAGTCTTAGCATAGCAACTACGAAGCATTCTCACATTTCTCCACACAAACCACTGAAAATACACTATGGAGATAAAATGTGATATACATGATGTTTCTCTTTTGTGAACAAATTTTCCTTAGTTTTAAAGATTTTGTCTATACCATACATCTTAATTATAGGATAAGACATCAAAACTCTCCGAGATAACTGTTGCTCACCATCGTGGTGTGATTTATTTGAAGCTGTCATTTACAAAAATCAATGGAAGTCAGGTCTTTGCATAACAAATGAATAAATCCTAGACTGGCGAGAAACAGAATGCATTCTCTTCTCAGCATGACCAAAGATAACAGAACTTAGCCTAGGACGAATATTTTACTTCGAGTGGTTGCTTAACTGAACACAGTCTTTCTTTACAGGGAAAACTTAACTTGAAAGAATATAATTGCCACTTATTTATTGTTCAGTAAATCCCAATTTTCAAATCCATTGTGGCAAAATACAAAAATCAAACACACAAACAAACAAATTTGAAACACATGACTTGCGAAGGAAGTGAATCGACAAATGGTTTTGTCCCCAGATGTAGATGAATAGTTAAATAAATTTATTAAAGTTTCAAATGTTAAGCACAGCATTCTTTTCTGTTGCACACCCAGCATACGGTATGTTTATTTGTCATCTATAAACACAACTAGAAACTGCTTACAATTAAAACCCCAACAAAACGCATGCCAGATGCATAATGAAAAAGTACCAAACTGATTTTTAATATTTGCTTTTATCTAGACATGTAGAAAAAGTAACGTGCAACATAAAAGAGAAAAAATACACACAAAAAAAATTTCACTTTAAAGCATAAAATAAATTATTTTCAGGATTTCGAGATGGCTTTACCATAACTAATAACTGCATAAAAGAATTCCTGATACAGTCAAAAGTGGTTAATCCGGACTCGTCGGGACTTCGGCGATTCCGGATTATCGATTTTTCCAGATTATAGATCATCAGTTTAAATTTGGTAAGATGGCATGCAGAAATTATAAAATTAAAAATATGAAACCATAATTTATGAAATAAAGAACAATTATGATCTAAAGGGTATCAAAATTTACAAAAACAATATTATTTGTTTATTATATTAAACATTTCTTTCAATGTAAGTTGTTTCGTTTTTATGTGATAATACTTTGTCTTTAATTCCATTAAACAGACATAATTTCTTGTTCAGTTACGAAGTTCCGCTGTTTAAGTCCTATAATTGCTGTGACGAGAATACCGACTAATTTGTCAATCGAAATTTTTTCATTTTCAATAACCTCGGTGTCACTTTCTTCACTATCGGAAGTGAATTATAATGAGGAGGAATTTGATTTAAGTCATATCAAAGACGGAGTACATCGAGATGAAATACTACATTTAGTAAGGAATTATAAGCCAAATAAAATAAAAACATCTGCCCTGAAGATAAGGATAGTACTGACAGATGAACTTCCAATTCATTGCGCGCCGGCGCCGCACCCTCCCCCCATCGCAGAGCAGCGTGAAATTGATAAACAGATTTGGGAATGGTTAGAGAAACAAAGGATATGCCTTTATCCATTTTTTGCAGCAATTCCACTTTTTGTTTGATGGACATCGAAACATACTTTCGCTTTGAAGATCCTTTGGGAGCTCCAGCATCGGAAATTCTATTTGACATAATCAAAAAGTGCAAGCTTACTTTTATAAAATTGCTCTAACAGTCTGCAAAAAATAATAAGCCGGATCCAATTTGAAGATTAAGGAACAACGCAATCTACAAACACTAACTGAAATAGATAATTACCGTATTTGATGGCATATAAGACGCACCCTTATTTAGACGGGCACACACAAGGAGAAAAAGTTTCAATAGCGTTGTTTCTTTTAGTTCTCACGTTTTGTAAAAGCCAAATAAACAATTACAGTCAAAAGTCGTTAATTCGGACACCCATAATCCGGAATGATCTATAATCCGGACCTCAAAGCTAAAAACTTTCTGCACATGTGCTGCGTTGGCACATGCGCACAGGCGTTTCACGCGTGCGCATAAGACCTTGACTACTGCGCATATGCGTGTGCGCAAGTGCAGAATACGTTTTCGCCTGCGTGTTTAATGTATAACGGACGGTGTAAGCTAAAATTATCTAATTATCTATTTCAGTTAATGTTAATGATTGCGTTGTTGTTACTTAATCTTCGAATTGGATCCCGCTTATTATTTTTT